AGAGGTGGAGGCAGGGGGTAAGACCTGCAGGTACAGACAGAGGGTGAATGAATGGGGGTCGTGGTGACAGAGAGAAAGAGTTAGTGGATTTCCCCAAATTAGCAAGCTGTATCCTGGAAGTTACTGCCCTCCCAGATTCTAGGAAGATAAGAGATGGAGCCGGGAGAAGAGATACTGTGGAGTGAGGGGCTGCGCAGTGTCTGGCCCCAGGCACTTCCTGGGAGTCAGACAGTGCCACAGTCCGAGCACAGGCCTGAGCTGCGCCTGATTGAGCTCACCTCTCTTCCCTCTCTTCCTCATTATCTAAGAGAGCAGTGAGCACACTCGGTCACGTTGTTTTTAACAGTCATGACATGTTGTTTTTGCCACTTTGGCAGCACTGTATGAGCTCATTCCACCAAAGGGACTGGAATTGGAACAGGTTAGGGGGGTATAGGTAAGGGGGGTATAGGTAAGGGGATGGCAAGTAGACTGGGTGGGGAGGCGGGGCATTCATGAGGGAGAGGAGGGGAGACTGGGTGGGGAGGCGGGGCATTAGTGAGGGAGAGGAGGGGAGACTGGGTGGGGAGGCGGGGCATTCGTGAGGGAGAGGAGGGGAGACTGGGTGGGGAGGCGGGGCATTCGTGAGGGAGAGGAGGGGAGACTGGGTGGGGAGGCGGGGCATTAGTGAGGGAGAGGAGGGGAGAGGGAAAGTAAGAAGGGAGGGACAGACACATGTGACATGAGGAGGAGGAAGGCGCATCACAGCCGCCAGCTCAGGGACTTTGACTCCGTGAGGCGCTCCGGGACGGGGGTGCTTCCCTTTGAAGCACTGGATGAAAGAGGGGGATGGAATGTGAGCCACAGTGTCTCCTGAGGCCGATGGCCTGCACACACAGATTATTATCTAGTCCAATCCCCACTCACATGAAATTCCAAGCAGGGTGAAAGGAGACTGGAAACTCCAAATTTAAAAGAAATGAAGTTTGGTGTGGACGAGGGGCCTAACAATCTCCTCTTTGTCTCCACAGTGTTGAGAATGTCAGCTCTTTTCAGGCTTTGAGTATCGGAATTTGCTTCAAGTTCCCTTCTCATCTCTTTCACAAATAAGATCATAAGGAGCTGAAAGCAGGTTGCAGCTGTGGCTGAGAGCCTGCTCTGGGGGGCGCGTCTGGGGCAGGAAGGATGCTGATCAAGAGGCCAGTCGGGACTCGGTGTTTGTGTTCAGCTCTTGCCAGTACGCGAGCACCTCAGAAACACAGCAGGCACTGACTCCAGCCGACTCTCTGAACGTCTCTCACAGCAGAATCTGAGCATTACTGGAATATACGTTGAGATTAAATCACCTGTCAGGATCACCGACGCCCAGTCATAATGGCAGGCTAATTGAGGCTTACTCCCAGACAGGCCTGCTCCCCAGATCGCTGTGAACACACTGCTGTGACAGCCCTCACACCACCACCCCCAGGGCTGGGAAGAGTTTCCTTCACTGGCCTGCGCTGTTTTTGCTGCAATAGGCAAGCCACGTGGGAAAACAGGAAGGGAGAACTGTACAGACCGCAAACGTGTCAACTGTAAAAAGCGCTCAGAAGCATGCAACTCATGGTTTCAGGGGGAGAAGGGCTCTCGACATAATGTCTCTTTAATACAAGCCCAGCTGTCGAGGACATCTTTAAAAAGAGGTTTAGGCTGGCACAAATGAAAATAGTTTATTATATTGAAAAACATAGCATAATTGTACAAACGAGAGCACAAAATGACTCCGTAAATTTGCGTACATTCTCCCCATTAGGTCTTGTAGTGTTAAATAAAAGTTTTAAAAAAGCGTGTTGTGGATCCGTGAGGTGAGGAGCTCTGTCAAGCGCACTGGCTGGGCTGAGGAAGAGGAGGGCTTGGCTCAAACTGGCTTCTCCTCCTGTGAAATCAGAGCCCGGAGCAGCGCTGGCTTGGGAGGTCATCCCGAAATTCAGGTTAAAGGGGTTAAGGACTGGGCTGTGGCTTGGGGAATAGGGGGGTTTCATGATATAACCTGCAGTGAAACACAAGCTGCTCCGCGAAATCTGTTCGGCAGACCCCCCAGAACCTGCGCCCCGGGACGAGGGGCTAGCAGTCACCCCCCCCACCCTTTCTCTCCCTCCCCGGCTCTCGTCTTCGTCCCTGACTCCTCCTCTCAGGATTCAGGGGTGGGCGATCCCAGCAGGGCTGCAGTCGGGGGGCCTCGGAGCTGCATCTCTGAGCCGGGGTCAGGGGTGAACGAACCTGCAGGTCAATGGGGAGCAGACAGAACCCAGAGAGTCCCACCTGCGCTCTGCAAAGGTCGAGAGTTCGGCTGCCAGTTGCTGTAGCTCTGGATTTCTCTTTGCCTGCCAGGCCAGTGGCGGCTGTGGCCCTGTGTGCAGACATCTGTACCTGTCTCTCACACACACACTCACTCACATCTATAATAATAATAATAACAACCTTTATTTGACATAGCGCCTTTAAAGGTGGCTTCTCAAAGCGCTTCAAAGCACTTGCATTGCTTAGCAGGAGGACACGCTGACATGTCTGCTGTGACACTGACGGGTAAGTATGTAGTTGTGTACCGGACTCACAATGGACCCGTGGCCCAGAGTCATCCAGGGGTTAAGTGAAGAGCAAAAGACTCCAGCCCAGAGATGAGGCTGTCACAGAGCCGACCCCCAGCAATGCTGATTCCTGTTAATATAGCTGGGAGGACTGGAGCCACTGGGATAAAGTACCTCACTCAGGGTCCAACAGCACTGTTTACACCCGAGGCTTGAACCCTCCACCCATCAATCCAGAGACACACCCGTTACATGTACCCCCAAAAAATATTTGAAAAAACCTTCAAGTGACCCTAGATGTGCTGCGTATGTGTTTAATTATTAATGTTGTGGTTGTTGGAAAAAATAAAAAAATAATTTCAGCCGCCTTTTGTTAATCAGTAATATTCCGCATTACTGTGGGCCTAGTTGTTTGAGTGGATGTGTTTGATATTCCCGCAGGTAAATCAGTAGCAACAACATGAATGAGAAGGAATTTAGCAACCAGCACCATTTAACCGAGATTAGGGTGAGCAGTCAGGTTAATAAGTTTTTAAGACAAGCCTTGCTGATCTCGGTCAAGGCGGTAATTGTGTTCGTGTGTGTGGCTTCCCAGTGTGGGAAAGACAGGCTGAGGAGCCATCGGAATGATTTGCAATCCCATTAATCACGGCCAGGGAGGACAATGTCGCAGCATTTTTGAAGTGTTATCTGTTAATGTAGGTTTCCTGGTAGCACATGTGTTTAGTGCTTTTGATAGTTACTGATTGACATTTGTAGCAGGCTGGGCTGCTGTGACTGTAAAAAAAACAAAACAAAAGGCATAACAGGACCTGCATTCTCTTCCATGAGGACTTTGCACCGTGGCAGTTCACACTGTATGCCTTTTTGTGTTTGTAAAAATACACTGCACTACCAAAATATTAAAGAGTTGTACGTTCCACAGGAATGGCCCCCAGAATATAGCACGTCCCAAGGTCCCTTGAGTTTAATGATGGGGACAAAGGCACCTCCCTTCAGAGGAGATGGAAAACTGAGGTCCTGAGTCTCCATGGTCATAAAAATCCCAAGGTGTTTCTCGAAAAGAGTAGGGGTGTTACGCCTGCGTCCTGGCCAAATTTCCCATTGGCCCTTTACCAATCATGGCCTCTTAATAATCCCCATCTCTGAACTGGCTCCATCACCCTGTTATACTGTTATATACAGCTGGTGTGTGGGGAGCATACTGGAGCACTCTGCTGCCACCGCATCATCCAGGTGAGAGCGATGCACTGGTGGTGGTAGAGGGGAGTCTCCTTTACCTGTACAGCACTTTGAGTGGAGTGCCCAGAAAAGCACCATCCAAGTGTAAGGAATAATTATTTATCCCTGAGCCTGGCAAAACTGTAGCAGGACAAGCGTTTTCCTCGGTGTGCATTGCTTTAGGAGACATGGCTGGTGCACGTGACCCCGTAGGAGACATGATTGGTGGTACATATGCGTCTGGTGTGTGTCTGAAGGCAACAGCAGACCTGGCTAATGTGTATATTCAGACAGCCTCGGGGGTTTATAGGCAGTAGACATGTTTCTGCAAATTAGTTTCAAAGCCCATCTCTTATTATATTCTTTAATACGTTACAAAGTAATAATAATTTGTATAATAATTATAATATATTATGTTATATTACTGTACTGTGTATTCCAAAGCCACTATCTATCACTGTATAACGTTGGCAGTTTGACAAGGCTGAAATCTGGGACGTGTTAAACCAGAACCCTTAAGAGACTTTACTATGGTATAATGTGGTAAAACTGTAGTGAAGCACAGAGTTCCACAGTAAAGCATGAAGCTACAGGTGTGGTACTGTGGGCACAACCGGGCCCAAATGTTTGCTACAAGCATGGTAGAGATATCACAACAATGTGAAAATTCCTTTCACTCTTACCATGGTACATTTTCATAGGCTTCAATAGTCTCGCCACCTAACCCTTTTATCTTAAATTAACCATAATTTAATTTAGCCACGACTATTAATTACATCTAAAAGGTTAGTAGTGCAGACTAAAAACGTCTTCTAAAGCCCTTCAACAGTGTGGCCCTCTTGAACGGAAGATATCGATTCCAGATTGCATCGCCAAACGCCGTTGAGTTTCCAGTACTTCTGCGCCACCTGCCGGCCAGAGGTGGTAATAAAGAGACTCGCACCTCGAAGTGTGTCCCCGGCTCGGACCCTGGGCCGTCCGCGGCTGTCTGCGCCTTCAGAGAATGAGCGGTTCATCTTCGATTTGTTGATGTCACGAAGCTTGAGAGGAGGAAGTGCATTTAAAACCCAAGCACAGCAGGCTCCCCAGGACTACTGCTGAATCCCATACTCGGGCTTCTCCCGAGAAACGGCTGGTTGGGAACACGGTTGAGACCGCATTTAAGGTCTGACACGCTCCACGCGTCGGAAAAGCCCGAGTGCCGCCGGACTTTCCCGAAGGCAGCAGATCCGTGAATGCGGTTGTAGCCCATAAACCAGGAGGAGCGCGTCCTGCCTTCGGTAGCTGGTGTTGACTTTGTTCTTCCGTTGTTATCTTAGTTTTTATTCTTTGGGTTTAATTAAATTCAACTTGACCTAAACAGCTGTCATGGGATGCGATGGAGGCACTATCCCCAAAAGACACGAGCTTGTCAAAGGACCCAAAAAAGTAGAGAAGGTGGGTGTTTTTAAACGTTGCTCTTTCGGGCTTGTTTTTGGCCTGCTTGTGTTGTGACGCCTAGGTTTCTCAATTAAAGCCGTAAATCTTTCTTTGTGGTCGTTGGAAAAACATCTGTCTTGTGGCAAGGACGATTTTGTTTTTGTTATTAAATTTTAAAAGTCGCGCCGTGTGAGTGAACTTGGATACGTGGTCGTTTGAGGAGCGATAACAGAGCCGCCGTACTCTGTAAATACTAGGAAATGCTGTCTTTTCCCGGCTCGTTAGGGCGAAAATTGTGAAAATGTGATAGCACATTCAGTAGCGTAACCTGTCTGGGAGGGTGACCCTGTACGAATTATTGGAGATTGCTTTTCGTTTAAACATGTTGTGACCCTGAGGCAGACGGGAAGCAACACATAGCAGAAAAGCTATTGATCTTTTAGTATCATTATTTCAGTGATGCGACATTTGCTTAAGAGCTAGTGCTGTGATCCAGAGTCTCAAGAGAAGTACGTGGAAGAGTGTAGAATCGGATTACCGACAGGTAAGAAGATTATAATTCGGACGAGATGCTTGAATCAGTTAGCTAATAGCAACCAAAAGAGGTGGGTGTTCAGCGTTTCCCTGTGCCCCAGAATTGAGGTTTTGGGGTTGTTCTGCGTCTGGGGGTCCCCCCTGTCAAACTAGGGGCGCCCAGCTCCCCCTTCCTGTTATTTGATATTTGTTCCTTTGTCGTCATTTTGTGAATACGTTAGGAGGGCCGTGTAGAGATCTGGGCATGAGGGATGTTTACCTCCTGGTTGTTGTGTGGTTTCCGGTGGGTGGGCGGGCAGTGTGGAGCACCAAGCCTGCAGCGCACACACACACACAAACACAAACACACACACACACGTACGGTGTACGGCATGTGTTGCGCAGGTTGTCATTGATGATTTTGTTTTCTGCTGCTGCGTCAGGTGGATAAGAGCGCGGAGCTGGTGGCGCGCTGGAACTACTGCGCCCTGAGCCAGGAGAAGCTCAGACGTCCCATAGTTGCCTGTGACCTGGGCAGGTAAGGAGAGGAAGAGTCTTTCTTTACCCCCGGTAGCTCCCCCTCCTCAGGACTGCAGTGCAGAGTTGTGGACACCCCACCTCCTTTTGTATTGAGACACTGGGTTGGAGCCAGTGATGTGATGTGATGACTCGTGTGCAGTATATCTCACGGTTCAAAGGAATGTTTTATTTCTTTTCACGCTGATCAATGCTTGAATTGCATTCAAGTCCTTTGAATGAGGATTGGATCGTGTAGGGCATTGCTTCGTGGCTTTCAGTTGTTTCTGTCTCCTTAAGTCATGTGTATGCACACTGGCACAGGCTCTCATCCACACATAGACGGACAATTCTAATTTTCCTTCAGATTGGGGTAACAGTAATCATGCGTGCTTGTGTAAGGAGGTAATACATAAGAGGTAAAAAACAAATGGGTCATCATATGTGATCATCCTGGTACAGGTGCATGCATCCTACAGGAAGTACTAGATAGATGGAACAATCCCCTAGAGCTACACATAGCTTTACTAAGGAAGAATGCATGAAATGAGTAGCAGGTTCTTTATTTCTACAAAGGTGTTTCCACACTTGGAGAACACTGGGTTTCATTTAAAACACCACTGGAATTTCTTGAAGTCATTTTTCCAAGAAGGACCCGGGTTTCTAAACCAGATGTCTGTCTTCCCTTTGCCTGCCTGCAGGCTGTACAATAAGGATGCTTTGATTGAGTATCTGCTGGACAAGTCTGCAGAGAGACCCAATGCCGAGGCCGCAGCTCATATCCGGGGGATCAAGGTCTGTTACAGTAACTCTTTTTCTGCCCCCCTCTGCGATTACAAAAACGAATTGAAGAACAGAAAGCAAAACCTGAGTGTTTAATCAGAAAGTAAAAAGTGCCCATTCATTGAAGGGCTTGCAACATTTATTTGGCACTGATTGTAGCTATTAATGTGACCTTAGTCTAATCACAGCATTCATTATTAATATTTTTTAAATGCTGTTTTCTCATAAATCATTTCTGACATATTAAGCCATTCTTAGAACAGAGTAAACGCACAATGATCTGTTTTATCATACAAGGACCCACTTTTCAGAATTCAGCTTAAACTAGTCCCCTGTTTTATTCAGCCTCGTTCTCTGCATTTCTCCGCCTTGGCATAGTTAGTGCAGGTTTCTCAAGGCCCCTTTGGTGATGAGGAACGAGTAAGGGTTTATTCCATGCCGAAAAGAAAAGGAGAGAGAGCGTTTCGGCTCTGGGCTCACAGCTGACTCCATAGCCGAAACATTGTCCGTTTTCCTTTTAGCACGGAATAAACCTCTACTTGTTCATTTGCAGCCCATGCATGCTGACACAGCTCCCTGGTTGGACTTTTGGTGCTGTACCTTCTTGCAGTTTAAAAAAAAAAAAAAGATTTCTCGCCTCTCAGTTCGATTGGCATGCTGCGAAGGAGAAGGGGAGCTGTGGAGTGCAGGCCGAGGTGTAGACAAAGCACAAGCTGTGACCTGCGTGTGTGTGTCTGTGTCTGAGCAGGACGTGAAGGAGCTGAACCTCACGGACAACCCGGCCTGGGAGGGGGACCACGGCGACGCCAAGGGCGACCGCTACGAGGAGCTGCGCTGCGCCCGGTTCATCTGCCCCGTGGTGGGCCTGGAAATGAACGGCCGACACAAGTAAGGGCTCCGTCCTCTCGGGGTCCGTCCCCCCCGGCTGCCAGCCGCGCCGCCGCGGGCGGGGGTCAGGCCCGGGCGGCGCCTGCAGCAGACAGTCCGGACAGCGTGGGGCCGACCTGCAGGAGGTGCTGTCCCAGGCCGTCCTGGGCTAATGTGAGGACAGAGGTCGCTTGATCTGGGCACAGGTGTCATTTTCTCTTTTAACTGTACAGTGAATCCTCCACTAGGTGGCAGGCTTGCTCCAGCCAGTCTTAACTACTGTATCGCGCTCCATCGCCTCACACTCTTGCTGCTCTAGAGCTCCAGGTTTTGTGGTCTGTTTGCATACAGACATTTTGTAATAAAAGAGTTTTCCAGTTTTGCCTTAGCAATGCCCATAAAGACCGTACTGCATAGTTCTTTGTATGTTTAATATTACCAACTATATTTTTTAAGATAAGATTTATTGTCCTCCGAGGGAAATTTTTTGTGGACGTGCAGCACTTCTGTACATTTAAATATAATGCACACACCACCCAAAAAAACAAAAAAGCATTGCACATCACTCTGTTGCACATGTATAACACATAACATATAACGTTTATGACACATTACAAAACATATTGCACACAAGTGCTTGTAAAGGTCAAAAATGGTGTTTATCCTTGCCATCTGCATTGACAGCTTTAATGGATAGTGGAACAAAGGGATGTTTGTATCTGTTTGACTTACATTCGGGAACCAAAAAAAGGGAATTCGTGTTAGGATAGCTTGTCTGCGATGGACTGGCGTCCCATGCAGGGTGTGTCATGCCCCTTGTTTGCCAGTTTGATAGAAGCCGACTGCCCTGCATTCCTGTTTTTCAAAAAGAGGTTAGAACATGACAGATGGAAGTTACCTCCCAGACTAATACATTAATTACCACTTAATTAATACCAATAAATACCACTTAATTAATTAATACCACTTAAAAAAATCAGTTTTCTGAACTTGACATGCCTTGTGCTGTCACTCTCAACAGGAGGCTGTTTAAAAAACAATCCCTGGGGGGATGTCAGTCGAACTCCTTGTCATTTTTGAGCGAAGTGGAGTCGTTTCCTGCTCTCGACTCTCCTGGTATTACTGACGTGATGGCATGACTCTGCTGTCGCTTTTCGGCTTCCAGGTTCTGTTTCCTGCAGACCTGTGGCTGTGTGTTCTCCGAGCGCGCGCTGAGAGAGGTCAAGACGGAAATCTGCCACAAGGTAAGGAGCTGCGGAGCCGGCTGGTCGTTTAACAAACGTGCAGAAATAGCCGTGTAATTGTTTGCCCGTCCAGAGGTATTCCAGGAGGTGGGTGCCAGGAACAGTGGCCAAGCAGGCCGGAGATAAGAAAAGTATGCAGGGTTGTACAATCTGACTGCAACAAGTGGACCTTTGTAAGAGCCGCTGGCTGTCTCAAGCCATAGCCATTAAGGCACAAAAACGGACTCCAGATAAAAAACAAATTTTCCTTGGATGTGCCCGTGTCATTCAATAACTCTTCATTTTTCTGTGTAACGTCGGTGTGGCAAAATAGGTTAATATTTAACCTGTGAAAATAAGTTAAGCAGGTAACTTGGGTTATGTGAAAGTATGAACTTCTTCTATTATCATAGATAAGCTTAAATGAAAGTTTTTTTTTCTGTCTTTTGTTGCCCCATGTGGGGAAGTTTTAAATCCCAGTGTGACACAGACACCCAATTACTTACCTTACTTGTAACATTTTAGGTGTTTATACTTTTAACATTCATACACTGATAAGTGGCACTCTTCATTTGTATCAGACATATTGAGTAATGTATTACTTTTAATACAGACTGTTAATTAACCTATGCTTTTTTAGCAATTATATATTATCAGGGTTTGCTAAGCATTGTTTCATCCCAGTGAGTGCTGGTGAAGTTTGTGGTAAAGTCAGCTGTTGTGTCTTGTAGTTTATTAGCCCTGAAGCTCCTTTGTTGAACTCCACAGAGACTAGAATGTTACTCTAGTCTTCATCTTCATGATCCCATAACTAAGAGTGATAACCGTTGGCCTGCTTTTCTTTGCTATATTCTGCATAGTGCCTGTAACTTCATGTCATTGCAGCGTCTGCTCAGCACCCTGTACATTCATGCAGTCCAGTTAACTGTTCCCTTGGTACAGCCCTTTAGATCCTGACGATCATGGCTCATACTAATTATGGCGTAAATGTAAAATGTCTTCTTTTTTGGGGGGAAATTCCTTATGAATTGCCGTTGTATATTATTGTGATATACAATCACGTGTTCCACGTTTTTATCGTCGATTTTGTGACTGTATTTCCCTTTAAAATGCAATTAGGTCTTCAACAGGAAGTTAAATTTATTCTTTTTCCTTTGGGAATATTTTTTTTCTCGTTATTTATGTTAATCACTGTTGTAGTTGTGATAATAGTAACCTTCATAGACATTTCCATTCTGTGGAAAAGAGTGAAGCTGCATTCAGAAATCATCATGAATAGAAATTCGACACGCATATGTGGTGGATAGTGAACTAAAGGACAGGAATGCTCTGTGGTCAGTTATCGGCATGATCTCCGAGCTGTCCGAGAGATTGGTGTGGCCACACTCACTGTTGTTGAAATGTGGAAAGTGGAAAGCTGTGGCTTTGTTTCATAATCAGCAGAGTTTTAGTGCTTTTAACTGCGAAGCACAAATCGAACGATTCAGCGTTAAAGGTACATTGTGACAATGTGCAGCCGAGCGTCACTGTTAGATATTTCTCCAGTTAATGGTTCTAAGTTATATTTAATGAGAAGGTCCCATTGAGAATAAGATGAAAATGAGGAAGAGAGAAAATTAAAAATAAAAAAAAACTATTTCTAATAGAATCAGAAATTCTGACCAAAAAAAAGTGACAAAAATGACGTATTATCTTGAAAAAACAGGTATTTCTGACCTGGCTTGTGCAGTCATGCTGTAGAATTGCCAGCTCGTTGTTTGACATTACGATCTGTACATTCAGGAAGCTGTTACGCCTTTAGATTAGTTGGCCAGCTATTTGTGTTAGGTGTTATTATCGTGTATGCTTAAATATTAAACAAAATCAAACCCCACCATTTCTTTAAAAATTCAGAAATTCTAGGCTCAGAATTTCTTAGTCTTTTAAAGAAATGCATGCATTTAATTCCATAGTGAAACCATGTCTCCAATACTTGTTTTTTTCGAGGTAAAACAGCATTTGTGTCACTTTCTTAAATAGACGTCGGTGATATGATCCTCCTGAACTATATATGTTCCATGATAACAAAATACTTCAAGGACATTTTACAGTGCTTTTTGAACATAAGAATGGATATAAATGAGAGTTAGTAGTTCATTGGTAGAAGAATCTCATCCAGCCAATTCTGGACAACGCTTTAGATACACAAGTTCTTCCTGTTGTTGGATTTTAATGTTCTCCCACATTTGTTTCCATCTGTGTCTTCTGGCATCTGTTTTATTTCTCATTCTGAAGAAGTCAGTTGGGTTGACTGGATCAGGGCCCTTGGAGATTTTAAATATTTGTATCTTGGGCTGTGGTTTTCAGATAAAACAGGAGCTCCACAATATGCTCAGACGCAGTGACCTGGATCCCACAAACAAAATGCCAAGTTCTCGCTGATGCAGCTTGGGAACCCACTGCATCTCATTAGGTGTAACATGGACACCATGCAAAACCCTGAAAGTGCAATAAAAACATCGCCCTCTTGGTTCGCCTCTCACAGGCACCTGATTTCCTCAACAAAGTGCGTGTTCACAGTCCCATGCTTTCAAAGTGCTTGTGCAGTGACACATGAATTGCCAGCTGTTGTGATTTTTAACAAGGAGCTGCTGGAGTATTTGATTCAGAGCTTATGCAAGACCGTTTCAGTAAGGTCTTTTCCATCCTCTGTTGTTCCAGGGTGCACTTGCCTGCCTTGCTAAACAGTCATTTTATGCCTTTTCTTCCGCTACTGTAGATCACTAAATATGACTTTGTAATTGTAAGAAATGAGGCGGTGCTGTTTTCCTTGGTCTACTGAAAAGGCCTGAATTTGGCAGAGCAACTCAAATGGGTCTAAAATGCCGGTGAGGCACTTTTTGTCAACGTTTGTTGTTTTAAGACGTTACTTGTTTGCCTTTGAAACACGTTCTGCTGGTTTTTCATAGCAGAGACTGTGATGACTAACCAAATCAACGTGGATACTGTACTTGTTTGTATAATTGGATCTTGTGCTTTAACATTACACTGATAAAGCACGCAGATTTAAAGTGATTGTCGACCTTGTTTGGGCTTAGCTGTCTCTTGTGAATGTAGATTTCTATGTATGTATGCAAGAGTAGATTAGATCCAGCTTTTATCTCCCAGTGCCTTTAAAAGCTCTTTTTCCTTGAAGTGCTAGTTATTGTGCAGGGTTGCATGTGAAAAATGTGGCCTAATTCCACTGCCATGGGAAACGTTGGTCTGAAGTCCGAAGGGAAAAGCTATGAGATTTTTTTTAGCTTTTTTAGCTTTTCTTTCTTTTTTTTCTCAGCATTCAGTCCTTAGTACTTTGTTTTAAGCATTTGTGACCTCCAGTTTACCAAAGTCGTTCTCCACAGCCTGAGGGGGAGGAATGTTTGACTTTTTTTTTTTATTGAAATGGCACTAATGGTGATGATTACAGTAACTTCCCTGGAAATATTGTAGGACAAAAAAACCCACTTTTTTACTTAAAATTGGAAATGTCTTTTCCAAATGTATTCAGCAGCTTTAAAAGAAAGCTCTTTTTCTGGGGGAGTGCTGTAATTGAATCGCTTTCCATTGCATTAGTAATCAGTCCAACGGAGCTCTATTTACTTAGTGTACAGGTGAAAGATAGTTTGGCCTTTTTTGTTAATTTGCAAACTTCCACACGTGTTTAAGCATTTTGTAATTCTCTTTGTGCTCCTGGACATAAATTCTGGCTTAACGTTTCTAAAGTGGTTTTTAGATTAGTTTTTACTCCCCCGTTCTTTCAACATAGTCTAAAGTAACTGTGCTGTCTGGGGTTAGCAGTTAACTAAAGCTGTGGCTCAGTAGAAAGTTAATGATCTGCTATTCAGTGGGACAGGGGTGTGGATCCTCAGTCGGCCCACTGCGGGAATCCTCATGTTGGCATGTCCCTTATCACATCATGGCTTGAGCACATAATGGTTGTCATGGTGGTGGCTTGAATAAAACGATACTGTAAATGGGCCCTGCTGCACGGCTGCACAGTTGTAGTAGCTGGGAGAAAGGAGGTGCAGCAGGCAGAAGATGACAGTGGGCTCCACTATGATGGGTTCACAGTAATCTGACCTTGGTTGACCTTGGTTTAGCGTTTAACAGAACCGGTGTGATGAGTTTGGAATGGCTGGCTTCAGCTGTCTTCCTCTGCTCCCTGCCTGAATGAGTGTGCATGAGTGTGTAACGGTTTCCAGTCAGCGGTGAAACCCTCTGCAGTGTTAAAAAGGGGACTGTACCCAAGGGGCCTGAACCTAGGATTCGTACTAGGATAGGAGTCGTATTGCGTTTTACATTTAAATAAACATTTGGAGGAATATAACTGTCCACTGACTCTTTAACAGGGTATTTTTAGAAGGGATGTTTGTAAAATGTATGGTTTGTTGTCTTACTTGTCAAACAAATACTGTTAAGACGATATATATGCATTTCTCTTCATTGCTTCACTTACCTATGAATGTAAAATTGTCATTAATGCCCAACATTTTTTTTTATTTCACCCATGATCCCCTTTCAGTCTCCGTGGTTATCCTATTATTTTCACACGACGGGAATGAGTTCAAGAGCCCGTAGGGTTGCCAGTGGCCCCCTGAGATTGCTTCCCGTGAGTGTGCGTTGCTCTGTACGAGCCGGCTTCTTCGGAAATATCATTCCGGGAAGCCGAGGGACAGACTTCCCAGCTCCAGCCCCTGTGGACCCACCCTGGTTGTCCTGGTTCTGTGGCTCTGTGGACTGGGCCAGTCTGATTCAGTGGCAGGAACCTCCATTGTCCACCCCTGGTGCAACTGTGTTTGCATGTTGCTAAGCAGAGCCACGTCAGTGAGCGAGCCGCAGTACCGGGGGGCAAGAGATGGAAGGTTTCTGCTGCAGAGCTCTTGCTAAGCTGTCACTTGGCATATTTATTCCCCAGGTAAGGTAGAACTGATTCGGTCAGCACAGCAATGAGCATAAAGGCACTGTCTCAGATCTTGCAGCAGGTTAAATACAAACTGATTTACAGACACTGAGTTCAGTGACCATCTGTTGTCTTCAAATTCAGAGCATCAGGTTGCAGGGATGCTATTTTCTGTTTGTATTGTACCTTGAAAATGTACTTTTGTCTTTTTTAAAGGGAGGGATTCATACAGTGCCTTGGTTTCAGACTTGCAGTCATGACGCTTTTGAATAGCCATTAATATTGATCACACAACCTACTGCATACATTCGAAACAAAAAAAACAACAGAAAAAAGCAACTAGATAGAAAGAAAGAAAAATTGAGACGTTTTTTCCTAAGAATTCAGAATATTTGCTGTGGCCATCCTAAATTAATTTAGTGGCACAAAATCACCTTAAAGAGCCACACAATTGTGCGGTAGTAGTGGTTCACCTGTTTTCAGAATAAATGCTCAAATGTCTGTGAAGTCCCTTGGTGAGGTGTATTTCAAGCAGGGATTCAACCAAACACACCAGGGATGTTTCAGAACTTCCTGGGGATAGAGCTGTATAAAGCCACAGATCAGGGGTAAATGAACATAAGCTTTTCAAAGCCCCTAATGTCTCTTTCAGCAAATTTAAGTACAACTGTGAAATTGAACCCCTTTCTTAACTTGCAGCATGAAAGTGAGTTGAAGTAACTTTTATTTAAAAGTGTAATTAATAAGAGTGCAATTCCAGATTGCTACTTTAAAGTTACATTGTTGAGTTGGTATCCATGGTTCTGCTGGCTAGCAAGATCTTGCTGGTCTTCCTGTAGCTTGTAGGAACGTGTTTTGGCAAAACACTTCTTACAGGTAGATCGATGAGTAAAATGTAAAATAATCATGATATTTACAACAACATTGCAGGTCCTTTCAAGTGCAAACTTTATTCCAAGCTTTTTATTTCTGCTCTCATTGAGTACTGCATGGTTTTTACGTCTGGAAAAAACATTGCTGTGAAGTAAAGCTGCGTTGAATGTACAGAAGATCAGTTTTGATGGAAAGGCTGGACATTTGGACAACAGGCTGAAAAAGTGGTGCCAATAGAAGTTGTGATTGTTCTTCTGGTGACTTAAGTTCCGCTTGTTCTGTATAGTCAGCAGTGCAAGTGTCCCAGTGCCCCGGTCAGGTAGGAGCACAGCCCCAGCTCAACTTGACAGACCTGGACCGTAGCGCGCAGGTCTGTGACCTGAGCGACTGGCATTACTGGCTGAGACACATGGGAGCCCCTTAAAGTATTTTTCAGTGTCTGTCTGTGCACAGTAACTGAGAACATTAAATAAACCTGAGAAACCAAAATAATAATAATAATAAACACAGCACGTTTTCTAAAACATCATCCGGACAAAACCTGAAAGGTCACTGTTACAATCCTGCAAGGGACAGAGCCCAGTTCTGCAATGTGACATTGCTGAAGGTGTGCTCCCCCTCCTCACAGTTTCCAGTGTGCGCCAGCATAGTCATGAAATTGTTTCTAATGCCCGTTTTCAGCAGGATAAAATTCTCAGACATTCAGGTGCGTTTGAGACCCTGTGGTTTTTGCAGTGCAGGTCTGAATGAGGTCTGGAGCCCAGGGTTGACTTCAGTGTGTGGCGCTAGAGAGGTGTGGTGTTCGGCTGCATTACAGCCTGGTGATATTTGACCCATTTCTGCAGATTTTATAAAAAAGTTTATCTTGATGTTTCCACCAGCTAACGTTAAGGCAGTTTGATTTTGGTTTCTGCCGTCGATGCTCAGCATGTGTTGAAGTGCGTCCACGTGGCTTTTCAGTCTTGCTACCCCAGCAAAGGGTTCTTCTTGGCTCTTTTCCTTTGTCTATCATTGAAAAATGGGCCACGAATCAAGAGCTCTGGAGCGTCAACGTCGTGGTGCGTTGTGCAGAGAGAGTTTTTGACAGCAAAGAGTCGGAGAACAGCGAATCCTCCTCGTTGCTGTCTAGGCTTCTAGGCCTACACGGCAACAGAACAGAGAGACTCCATTTTAGGGGCTGTTGGACATGTTGAGAGGCTTTGTGTGGTTATGCTCTTTCACAAGCAGCCAGGCAGGATCGATGGGCACCTTCGCCTGCTGCAGGACTTTCTTGCGGTGCCACAGCTCCAAGCACTCCACTGCCTGGGGGTAGGTGCTCAGCTCAAACTTGTTCGCGAACATGCTGTTCCTGCTGATGATCCACTGCAGGTCCTCTGTCCCGTAGATGCAGATGTCGCGCACGTAGTGGCCTGAGACACAGAATAAAGATGGTGAGCTGCCAGCCTGTGTTCACACTGTGTTGTGAACGGATTCTTTTAAAAGTTTATTCACTGGACAAACATGTTGCTTTATTTAGACCCCTTGTATAGATTTCGGCTCTAGAATGGCTCAGGGTTGTTCAAGCAAGTGATCGGACGAGCAACTGCCAGCTCGCTTGGAACAAAAACCATTAGGGGTCGTGGCTCCAGATTTGAAAACCACTCCTGTGGCCTACATGTTAGAGCTAGCAAATGCTTTGTGGTGATATTGCTTAACAAGTGACTCAGGCTGCCTGTCTTCACTTCCCCTTGTAGCAGTGGTGTTTTTACAGTGTAATTCACTGCAGAGTATCTGCCTCACGTGTTACAGTGCACATAAACCCTGTTGCAATGAAATGCTGTCATAAATGATGCAGTTAGTAGCAGTTTCTGAGAGGGAAGATGGAAGTCTCTTTGCTTCGCTATGATTGTATATTCCTGTGACACCTGTTTTTAATATTTGTTTCTGTGTGGATGGGTGCACCTGAGTTTCAGCCCTGATTTTGCATGTGCAGACAGTGAGGTGAGGGCTGTGGTGATTTAGGTCCTGCACCTGCTGGAGCTGACTGACAAGGAGGAAATGGACAGGGAATTAGCCAGATTGCAAATAGAGCTGTAATTTCAGGATTGGAGGAAATGGGATACAGCACCTGGCTTGCACAAACATAGGAACAATAGTCCCCAGTTAAGTGCTCCATGTTGCTCATAAGCTCTCATAATTGGATTTTGCCCTGTCTTTAAAGCTCAAACATTGACATTATTTCTCCTCCAAGGCCTGGTTATTTTATTTAATTTTAATCAAATTTGCAGAGTTGCTCTCCTCCCGGTCTCTTGTGTATTACTCATAGCTGCATCCCTTCTCCTGAGTCTGTTACTCTTATGCGCCCTTTTTCATACATCTTTTATAAAACAGGAGGTAACATGCACAAGGAGACCAATGAACATATAAAACCATGATATTTCAAAAATAAATAATATCATAGGTTTTAGTCCCTCTTCTTCTAGGAGTACAATATATCTTAGGAAATGCCATGAGTTTTAAGTTATCTGGGGGAAAAATGCATTTTAGATTTGTTTGCGTATTTTAATTGTGAACGTAATGGGATTTAAAAGTATCGGTGTGACTTATGAATATATGAGATGTGATTCTGCAATTTATATAGTTGTAAGGACTCGTGGTAGCATCTGTGTCAATCCTGCAGTGGCAGGGAGGAGTGGAGGCCTCACAGGTGTCTACCTTTGCAGCCGTCGTGGGATGCGCCCGCTTGGTCTCTCCATTTAATCGCTCGAATATCCCCCTCCCAGCCTCCGTTCGGGTGGCTCCCTGGAGCCTCTGGAAGAACAGGACAGAGACGGTTAAAAAAACAAGCTGCCACAGAGGCAGGAAGCATTTATTGCTCACTGATGGTAGCTATAATGTTATGCAACACTGGAGGGATCGAAGAGAACAGGTAAGAAACTCCTGAATAAAGAGTTCTAATCGGGTGCAGCTGATTATATAACTAGGCTGTCTCTTTCCGGACCTTTGCCTTTGCTTTCTTATGTGACATTAAGGTAAGTGGGGAAAAAAGGAATTTGTGAGTCAACGTCTTCGAAGTTTGGAAATGAGGAATTTAGAGGTTAACAAGCTACCATTTCTTGCCCGACAAACTGAGTATCCTCCCGAGTTTTAGTGCAGAGAGTAAAGAAAATAAGGTTAAGTGTGGACACTTGTGGACACATGGGTTGGAACACCGTGTGCTAACAAGACTTGGAACGTTTCAATCGCAGTGCGGTCCTTCAGTTATTTTTCCGAACCAGAAAAGGCCAGCAGTCTTTTCTAGACAAGGATCTGCTGTTTTAAGTAGTAAACGAATTGGCGTGCCCTCCTCTTCCTGTCACGCTGCTTTGAGTTACAAAGTGAGCTTATCTGTTATCAGTGCCGCAAATGTGCATTTCCTATGTGTGCGCTCTGCAGGAAGAGATCATTCTACAGCACTCAGTCTTTATGTTCTTCTGTAGTAGTAGAGCATGTTAAATATTGCAGTACGTATTGTGGCTAAAAATAGGAGGTTCAAGGTTTTTAGTCGGTTTAACAACTTTGGGGGTGAAAACTAACAATTAGAATAACCAAATAAACGTTCGTCAACCGTTAAGCGTTAAACCGTTATAGGAGCGTTGCTGCTATGAGTTTGCCAAACGGCCGCACTTGCCAGCCAGGCTGAGCTGTTTGTTTCTCACTCCACAGCGGAAGGCTGGGTAATAGTTTCCTTCGTTTGCACCTCATGTCCTCCACAGTCGCCATTGAAGAAGCTCTTGGCTTCCAGGCTTTATGTACAGGGTGCTTATTTCAGTTAGTCGAGCTGTTCAAGAAACAAGTGCGTTGTGAAAATCGCACGTCGGGCAGCAAGATACAGCACACAAAAAGAGGGGAGCCAGCCACTGTAGACAACGGCAGTCCACCCTAAAGGCCTTTGTGTTGGCTTGGCGTGGCCAAGAAGTGCCCTCTTCACAGCTCGTGTACAGGGAACCACAGCTGCATGAAGCTGCTCGCCGTTCGCTCGCTGTCCATGGGATTGTGTGTTTCCACATTTCATTGCTCCACGTGGCACAGCTGGCTCTTCTTTCTTTATTTTTTTTTAGAATGAGCACGCTGACTCGCAGGCAACGTTTGAATTTGCTCGAGCTGTCGCCGAAGTTCACGGGACCGCTGGACACGGGACGTTCTGAAATGTGAAAATAAAGCCGCAGACCGCTCTTACCTGGCAGGTGGTTAAGCGTCACCCAGTAGTGCTCGTCGGGGCTGTAGGTGTCTTTCGACCACTCCAGCAGGTCCTTGGCGATTTGGCTGTGCAGCACAAACTCCACGAACGGCCTGGTGAGAGAGTAGTAAGCCGTCCCGAAGTAGATTTCCAGGTTATGTGGCGGCGGCTCCTTCCTCTCCCTCAGCTGCACCACGTAAGAGCCCTTGATCTCCCTGTGCTTCAGCTGTGTGCGCTGCCGAATGCTGGGCGGCTGCTTGACTCCCGGGGTCATGTTCCTGTCTCTCCATTCCTTGCTCCGCAAGTAGCGCACCAGCTCCCAGTTGCTCTGGGTGGGGAAGTCCTGGCCGCAGAGGTTGGCGACCCTCTTCCAGGGAACGGGGGACTTCAGCAGGTCTCTCATGCAGTGGATGTCGGCCTGCAGCCTGGAGAACCCCCCGTAGGTCACGTCCTCGGTCGCGGAGGCCAGGAAGACGTTGGGGAAGCACCGGCCCAGGCGTGCGACGGCGGCCTTGTAGTCCGGCGGCGACTTCCTGTCGACGTGAATGCAGTACACGTTCTGTGGGGCGTAGATGGCCCTGAGCAGCCGCAGGAACATCTCCAGGTCCTTGTGGACGGTGAGGATGAAGGCCAGCGGGAACTCCTCTTCCTCTGGGCTCAGGGGAGAGGTGATGAAGTGGAAGTCTTCTACAAGGCGGGAGCAGTTCAGCTCCCCTTTCAGAAAGGAGGCCTCTGCCTCGCCGTATTCCAGACACTGCTTCTGGTGCCATTCCGCCTCCTCTGGGCCGGCCAAGGCGAAGGAACAGGTCCGCGCCTGAAGCTTGCACCTCCCGGCTTCCACAGGGGCCTGCTGCCGCCCCCTGCGGAAACTGGACACCTTCACGTAAATGGCAGCGCAGACCAGAATGCAAATTCCCAGGCAGACCAGGAAACTCCGCTTGGTGCTGTGAAGCTGGAGCATAATATTCTCCCACCAGCGACGCGCTTGCTCAGCCTGGCGGTACAAAGCGGATAAGTCTGTTTAGTATCAGGGCAGCGAATATTTTATCAAACGAGGATGGTAATTCGTACACTTTAGGACAGTTCAGGACAGTTCTCAAAACAAGGCACACAGGGCTAGCGTTTCTGCAAGTTTTTCCTTTTTATCGTCTGTGACAATGCAGATTCGGTTTGTTCTCGAGGTGTGTTGATTGGTACGTTTGTCCTTTGCCATTGTAGCTCCAGTTGTGATGTTTTTGATTGTTTGGCTCAGTATAGGGTTAACTCAAAACCTTAAGCCACCTACCAGTTGCAGACTTGAAACCTGACACACAGTGGTGTCTCTCCAGTAGGGAAATGAAAAGCTGCCATCAGGTGTCCGGCGTTTGTGATTGGCTACAGGGACACAGTTTTAATTAAATCCAGTTTCCATTCTTAATCCTTTGGCAGCTTGGTTGCGCAGTGCATTCTGAGGTACCCAAAGTGAGAATTAATGAAAAGCTCACTTTTGAATGGAAAGGATGTTGATAATGATCTGTGTCAAGATAAAGCCGGCAAAGGTCACGACTGAGTTGAAAACCCACAAGGCTTATCATTTTGCAACTTGAACACCGAACAAGCCTGTAGTAGTGGTGACGGAACAGATTCCGCCCCAATGTCCTTCTGGTTTTAACGACAGGAAGTTGTGCGTTACACTTGCTGCAAGTTTTGATTTTTAAGAACTGCTCCACAGACGAGTCACAGTTGTCTAGTGTAAAATATGATGCTGGCATGTTCTTCCCACTGCTACTGGAGAGCTGGGCAGTTTGACGCAGGAATTACACTTGGAGCAGACACCAGGGTCACTTCAGCCTCCTCTCCTGGTTTAGTTAATAGCATCCCAGAGGAAAGCACATTTCGTCTGGACCCAGGGGACCCTGAAGGTCTCCGAAACCCTGGGAGGGGGGTGTTTAATATTAAAAAAAGCACCTCCTAAGTTTTAATTAAATCCCTGTAGTGCAGGCAGTGTAAATATCAAGGAATGCCTTGAGTTTAGCAGTTGGAATAACATGAGCATCAAGAGAACGATCTCCCCAGCAACCTAATTGTTTGTTTACTTGTTTGTTTAATCCGAGTGTTAAAACTCCCGTTAGATTAAGCAGGAATTTTGTGGGATGCAGCTTTCCGTATGAAGAGAGTAGAAGTCTTGACAGTTGAAGATTTTTAACTTGAGTTTTATAATATTAATTATCTTAGAGCACCGTATTTGTCTTACAGTCATTTATACAGTTGTGATACTTCATTGTGGATTTGTGTTGTAAACAACCTAGGATAAAGGTCCCATCTTTTGTGTTGCTTCATATGTTACTTAGGATTCCACGAATACACTGCACATCTACCTTAAATGCCATTTACCAGCTGTTGAATTCCATCATATCTTTTTATATTTCCTTTGCAGTAATATCTGCAAATCTGACCGTCTTTAAAACTAGACTTACTAACTTAAAGGATTTCGGGGAACTTGCCTTATCAGTAAACTTGCAACACATCCTTAGAGTTCTTAGAAGAAAGAGGCAAGGCAGCGGATACTCGTAACTGGGCGGTCCTCAGTCAGCAGTGTCACATCTATGAACGGCACCAAAAGTATTGTTTCGGAGAAAGGAAGGGTTACACCTCTGTAAACCTTCCCCGCCGTTGTTGTCACACCTCGGATGTTTCCATCAAATACTGCAACGGTATTTGGCGAGCATGGACGGTTTGGTGCAGTGAGCTCAGGACCACACCCTGCGATAAGACACGAACCACACCCTGGGAGTGTTTTTACATGGGGGTTTTTTCTCCTCCAACGGACAGTAACACCAATATTTCGTGCTTCTGCGCTAGAGTGTATAGTAAATGGCTGTTCTTGTCTAATAATTGTTTCCTGACAATTTATTTGTTGCTTGCATTAGATATCCGTGCATAGTTTTTGTCCCGAGTTAAAGTAAAACAAATGCCCTGCTGGTCAGACTCTTGTGATTCATTTACTAGTGAGGAGTCTGGTATGCTGGTATGCAAGGTATGCTTTGCAATTTTAATCTTTATATCTTATTCCTGTTTTTTACATTTCTGTGACCTATTTTTTAATAAAACGTTCCAAGAGTGGCCTCCTACTTAACTCTTTGGTCTTTAAGTTCATTTTTGTCTAAGCCAATCAGAATAAACCTTTCAGTGTAAATGGGTTTTTACTTCCGTTTTAAGGAATAACACCTGTATAGTCCTTTATTAAGCTGTTTTTGTGTTTTCACTTCAGTAGCAGTTTCTTTCCCCGTTTAGTTTTATGTAGATCTGTGAGGTATTGTTGTTATTAATGATAACGGTGTTTTAATTATTTGAAGTACTTAAAAGTAAATAATACTATATGAGAACAGTGATCTCCAATAAGACTTAAGCATATTTGAAGCAGGCATAAACCTTTTTATTGTAAAATCAATTTGTGTATTGAAAGAAAGAGCCTTTTTATATTTGACTTTTAAAGAGTTGTTCTGCTTGAATTGTTTTTTAGCAGGAGGTTGTGGGGGTGAGACCCGGTTAAGGCTGTGCTTGTCTTCCACACTCAGTGCTTGGAAACTAGAGTCATTCTTAGTATGACTTGCACTACAGTGCATAAGTGTTTTTTAACTTATTAATCCTCACACAAACAGGCTTAACTAGTGTCTTTTTAAAAAAGTGTGCATGAAGTGCTCAGCAAATATTGAGAATGGGTTGGTCTCAAATGTATTGCTCAGTCATGTACTTTGTTACTGGTATTGATCACTAAACTATACACAGCAACTATGATATTAGTTGCCAAAAGTAAGATGAGTTGATTTTAAATCATACCATCATGTTTCTTGCAGCATGTTTTCACTGTGCACCACATGTTGAGTACAGTACTATCCTGTATCCTCTTGAAGTTACTGGTCTTAATTGAACTGGAATAAGCCTGGTCTTAAAACAAAGGTCGTATTTATTTACCTTTCCCTCTGCCTCACTGTATATGCTTGTATAAAATAGTTGCTGAATTGCTGGAGACCTGTGAGAGATTAAGAGAGCATGATGGATATGCGAGTTAAGTTCTTGCTGTGTTTTTTTTATGCAATCATTTGATCTGACCTTGGATTTAGTGCGAGCCAAGGAAACGAGCGAACAGCTTTCGGTCTTCCTCTTGTGGCGGTCGTGTTTAAGAATAGAGACGCAGCGAGAGCGCGATAATGCCTCTTGCTAGTTTCACAGCGTCAGCTGTGTGTGGCAGGGACACTGTCATTAAAACTCTGTAGCCCTGAAGTGGTGCTCAAACCCTGTTCGAAAGGTATTCCCTGTGCCTGACCATGAGTAGTAGCCCTTAATAAAGACTCCTTCACATTTATGGGGGTTCCAACTAAACTGAAAGTCCGGAGTAGACTTTTCCTGGGTTATGGCTTATTTGGATAGTTTCATCTTGCGTCATCTCTTTGCACTTCACTTTTTGTCATGACTTGCGATCCACAAAGACCCCTTTTAAAGAAAATCTAAAGTCACGCTTGAGTCAGGCCGAAAGGGAGGGGGCCGATTTGGAAACGGCGTGCGGCGAGGGGAGCAGCGTTTGGCAAGCGCCTCACCTGAAGAGAGAGCCCGTCCAGCTGCCGAGGGGTCAGTCGGACTCGCAGGGGTGCCGGTGCCGCGCCGGCATGATCCGCTCTTACTCCCGGGAGGCTGGGGAGCCTGACCTTGCGGTATCCTCCGGTTCTCCGGGTCTCTCCTCCGTGCTGGGAGAGGGAGAGCTTCCGCCAGCCCTGCGCTGCCGTATCTGCATGTGTGCTGCAGTAGAGGCTGGCTCCCAGGAGTCTGAAGCGGAGCCTGGAAACGGGCTGTTTTTCTTCATCTGTGGTGAGCAGCTCTCTCCGAATCTCCTCCCCTCCTCCCGCCCTTCCTCCTGCCCCCCCTCTCTCCCTCCCTTACGCTTGCTGACTGGCTCCCTCTCCTCTCTCCATCTCTTTTATCACAAACTCTCTCATCTCTGCCTTGAAAACATTTTGGCTCTCAGGTGGTGACCTGGGCTGCAGTAGTCCTTGCTAGCAGCTGTGAGTTTTACTAAGGAAAAAGGAGAGGAAGTGCTCTGCGGAAATAGGTGTAGGACTGCTGTGTTTGCCAGCAGGTCAGCTGCTGTGTTTGAAGTCCTGCTGTTGCTCAGTGTGTTGTTCATGCGTACAGAGGTCACATTGAGCTGGCAGGGGAACATGAGAAGGGCCCCTGGTGGTTATTTTGTGATTGTTGTTTTATTTTTGCGCTGTAATAGTGTCATTTAACTCTTTAATTGGCTTCAACAACAACAAATGGATGACGAAAGAAACTATTCAGAGATTTGTTTAGTTTGTGACGGTGGAAAGTGAACTGATGATTTGATGTTGTGGCTTTAAAAGCAATTATGTCAAAGTGCTTTTACAATTTGTGATATCGCTATAAAATTAAAATTTCCCAGGCTTGTGCGTGTCCTGCTCAGGTTTCTAACTGCTGAATTCTGGATGAATTGTATATTTAGAGACTCCTGCAAAGAAGGTGTTGGAATAATCATTCCTTTTCAAAACAAACACCTGAACCAGTTTTTCCACTGCAGACAAAGGCAGTATTGACCTGGTACTGTCGAAATAATGAAGCATTTAAGAAAATTCTGAATATGGATTGCTCAAAAGTCAATGCTAAAATAAAAATACTAAATTTTGCATTTTGGATCAAAGCTCAAACATGGTGTCATAACAGTTTAATACAATAGTATTTGGAGTGGCATCATCTAAACTATTAAACCAGTGTAATCAATCACAGAGTACTGCAAGGGCTACCTCCAAATCAGTATTTGCATGCACCTAGATTTGAGTAGCATCTGCCAGAAATGCGAATACAGGGCATGTAATTTTAGTATTGGACCAGGTGGAGAAATAGAAATGCAAAATAGGCCTGTGGGACGCCAGATGTATCTACCTACCCAATCTTGGAAGTAAAATGCCGACCTTCAGCAAGAGAAGATTTTAAGGGAAGTACGAGAGACTCTTCAGAATCAACAGTCAGCACGTACCAGAAGATGCAACTGGAAACTGTGTAGTACATTAAGAACAGGACCACCTACTCAGCCCTGTTATTGAAGCTGATACCCTGGCTTCTTTCAAGGCACCACTGGTTGAGGTCCCGAGATCAGCTTACTACCTGCTACCAGACACGCTAAATGGGACCTACAGTATAGCCTCCTCTCATCTGTCACCTGCCGATGAATAGAATGTCATGGAGTACAGTAGTGAGCGCAGTGCTGAGATGTAAGTGAACAAAGAGAGAGCATGCATCTGAGCCAATATATACAGTATTAGTAAGCACAGATTTTAATTCACTGCCATTGAAGTGATTTAGACACTTTCATGGGTGCTTGTGAGCACAGTGAACCTACTTCAGATATTCAGCTAATGTTACTACTCAGCTCTGGTCCTGCCTCTGGACTTAATTTCCCACAAGCAGTGCCGCACGTCTTGCTAGCAGTTAACTCATATTTATTTATGTTTTATTTTATTTGGTCATCGCCCCCCTTTTTTATTTTGAAGTAGCTTGTACCCTCAGGAAAGACTGGAGTGCTCTTTCAGATGATCCCTTCCGATCTGTTCCTTGTAAATGCCTCGTAACTCCTCACGGCCTTTGTTCCAGAATTCTAGAGCTCCAGCCCTGGACTCCTGCTGTATGCAGCCGTTAACTGTGGCTGTAAAACGTCTCTCGGGCAGGCAAGTGGTGTGAAAAATCGTAGATACTTGTGAGCAGCTGACTGGATCAGAAAGTGAGGGCTGGCAGAGACACCCATCCTGAGCCCTTCAGATAATGGTTTGCGGGTTTTTTTTTCCCCCATTAGCCTTTCGCTTGGTGCTCTCATGGTGCAGTAAGGAGTGTCCATCAAGTGGTCAGGCATTTTATTTAAAAAAAAAAAGATGGATTGCTTTCATAGTAACTTTGGGAGAAGATGGAGTAATTCACAGTAATGCTCTAATAATAGAGCACAAAGAAATGCCGAGAAAAAAAGAAAGACACATTCCCATCTGTTTACAACCTTTTTAGGCAAAGCAGGGCTCTGGCCTATTTTTGAGGCTGGTCTTGAGTAACCTGGAACATGAGTGAGAGGCAGATTCTGGGAATTTTTTAAAGTATAAACACGTCACTGAAGCTTTAAAAAATTTCCGCAGTTGTTTAATCCATTTTGTGGACCACTGTACACTGTTGTGTTGTTGTGTTCTTTACAAAAAAGAATATAGAACAAAGCATTAGTTATAGAATAGTATGATAATGACAATGAAGTATGCATTGTTTATTCAATTAATATTTTCACAACACAGTTGAGGTTGAACCTGTAACAGGACATAGACTCTGGCTCATTGGAGCTTGTTTTGTGTTACTGTAAGGAGGAAAAAGAGACCATTTCTGGAGCAGCTACGATCTGCAAGGTTCTTCTGTAGAAGTGCATAAAGGTATATAGGAAAAAGTAAAGGTTCTTTCCATGCTGAAAAGAAAACCAATGTTTTGGCTGTGGAGCCTTCTTTGGATGTGGAATATATATATATACTATATATATGCCTGTAACAGGTGTGTGTGCATATTAATTCAGGAGGTAGCAGTCAACTTGAGAAAAGATCAGTAGCAAAGAAAAATGTGATTTTCAGGTAAAAAGAAGCGATTTGTCATTTTTACCCATGTCTGTTTAAATGATGCGCAGTTCCAGGAATATCTTGTCCAATGCACAGTTTATGTAGTGGTTTTTGATCCTATATTCAATAATTATTTTATAGTTACTTTTTTTTCTAAGGATGCTATAATGAGCGCGTACCTAAGTGCTTGAATGAGTGCATTATTACTGTGATGGACTCTTAACAGAACAATCTGTCAGGCAGCCTTCTAAAGTGCTGGATTATCTTGAAAGTGCCCATTAGCCTGTTGGGAAACATTTCTCAGATATGATTACAGCCCCCATGAACACTGCCACTTTTGCTCTGAAAACCTGAGGGAGGGGAGCAGGAGAGAAATCATGTAGGATGTGTTTTGCAAACTGCAAAACGGGCAGTGCCACTCTGTAGCCCTGCAGGACTGGCACAACACTGGCGGGTATGCAGTGTGACAGGTCTGTTAAAACAGAGGATCAGTGAATTTTTAGAATGTAAGAAAGTGCAACGAGTCACAGAAAGGAGGTGGATACTCAGACTTTGTTTCCCATTGGCCTGCATACTAACTAGTCCGAGACTCAGCTAGATGTTTCTTGAAGGATTGCAGGCAATGAGCTGAAGAACAGTTATGAACCACATCCCAAGGAGGCAGTGTGGCTTCTTTAGCTTTTTCCATTTGCAAACCACTAATTATCCAAGAGCTTCATGTAACCCTTTCTGGGAAGATGTCAGGATACTGTCTTTAACCACCTGCCTGGGTAGCTTGTTCCATTCTTGCAGCTCAAGGTCTGCTCTGGGATTTTTGTGCAGTGTTGGGTGTAACGTGTCTTTAAGCCAGAAAGTCGTTCTGGTTTCTGGTCTTTAAACGGGCAGTGCAAAATAGAACAGAATGTTGAAAATGAGGTCTTCGGTGCACAGAAAGAACACCAGTGAACCTCAGACGGCTCTGATGCTGCAAGTCTTTGTGTTTTATTGTTGATCTAGTGTGTTTTTTACGTTGTTGCCTGTGCTTGCTTTGATGATGGCTAAGAAACTGAAGAGACTGCTCCCTTCATTCCGCTACCTAACATTTGGTGCAGTCACAAATGTTCATACTGTCATTTTGGCAGTGCCATTCAAAATGGGTACCTGCTGGTGCCAGTCAAGAAGCACATGGGTAGAATGTACCCATTGGGAGGGCTTTTCTTTCATACTTTTTGTAGCAAATGAACATCGAAAGAAGAGGCATCACATCCCCTTCTACAATAATTGATTCTGTTTTTGTGTCTGTGTGTTACTCAGGGCACACGCAGATCAACTGCGCAGAAGAGTAACAAAATACATTTCTGTGCGTTACGCATTACGATATTTAGTTGTTTCATGCGGTGCTTCTTTGCTAAACGCCCTGATGTATTTTAAGAAGCATTTATGGTGTCTTTTGTCAGAGAAGTGGTCATGACTGTTTATCTACAATATCCTGCAGTGGGAGGCATGGGCAGCAAATAACAGGGATTGAATATTCTGGATACTGAGTAACTTAACAAACGTGGGTCTCTGTGATCTCATTGTCTCTTAAAATAGTTCAAAGCACATCTGCCCCCTAGTGTTTGTCTCCTGCTCCATTATCCCATTAAACTGATAAGATTCAAGCCTAATCTGCCTGCCTTGTTCATTTAAGCACGTGTTTGGGTCCTGAGTATATAGCCCGGTCTTCAGAGTGGTTGCAGACAAGTGTCCCCTTTCCTCTAAAGCAGGGGTTCGTGAACCCCTAGGGGTTCATGGCGGTACTGCAGGGGGTTCGTGAGATTGTGCTGGAAACGTCAGTCAAATTAAATAGTCCTATTAATAAATAACAGTGTCATAATAAGAATAAGAAAAATAACATAAATTGATAAATAATAAATAAAATAAATAAATTGATATTTTACAAAGTGAAAAGAAGCATGTCAAGAGGGTTGCTGTAGCGTTTATTGAAAACTTTGATTTAGTTAAAATCTCAAGGGGGTACTTGAGGCAAATAATTTAGGTTGAAGGGGTTCAGCTAAGAAAAAAGGTTGGGAACCCCTGCTCTAAAGCATTGTTCATTTATTTTATAGTTTGCTAAATATTTATTTACTGTATATAGTAAACTGTATGATGTACTGGCAATAATTTATCAAGCTCTGATCCATCTTAGTTGGGTTCTACTGTAAGCAGATTTACGAAGCCTGTGGAGCTGCAGAAATAAGATCAGTCTTTCACTGTCCGTACGTTTGTTGAGTTGATCAGACTCTGTGTTACTATTCACAATGAATTTGAGCAAATTTTGTGAAGGCTGGCACCAGCAAATATTACAAGTTATGAACATTATTGAAAACGAATACTCTTCACTGTTAATTCGTAGACACGTGTGGTGGGTTTCATGCAAGTAGCAAAAATATTAAGTATAAGAAAAGATGGAAGAACCAATCCTGGAGAATTCTGTGCAAGACGTAGGTCTTTCACAGGTCGGATGTGTTTATATGTGGGAAACAATAAAAGGAAAATGGAATATTAGTATATGTTGTTAAAAGCATACATTTTCAACTGAAGCATAATATGTTTATATTTTACAATGCAACAGTATGTCCTTGTGTATAATATTGTTCGTTTTTGGACCCCTCCTTACAAAAAAATATGATTCTGCTCTGGAATCGGTAATGAAAAGAGCAAACGGGTACATTCCACTTGGTCTTCGAAGACTAAAAAGAGAAAACCTGATGAAGCACGAAACGCAAGTGGAGACTAAGGTGAAAGGCGTTTGGATTGAAGTGCGTGGGGGTGTGTTGTACCCTCCTCGTTGTCTTCTGTAACAAGAACAGGCTTGCTGGCTTGGGGTTTAGGGTTGAGAAGCTTTAGTTGCCCCCTGGCTTGGCACAGGTGACCCCTAGGAGTGGCCAAGGAACATGCTGTCCCCCGTGAATCCCAGTGTCCGCTCAGCGCGTTTCTTACAGCACTGTGCTCTCTTTCCTCCTCCGCAGTGCGGCGATCCCTTTCAGGACAGCGACGTTGTGATCCTCAATGGCAGCAAGGAAGAAGTCGAGAAGCTTCGCCAGAGAATGGAGGAGAAGAGAGCTAAGGCCAAAAATGGGAAGGTATTGCACACCTTTAGCATGACAGCTGAGATTTGTCTCTTGAAATTGTCTGTTCTGGGGCCCGGCTGTTGGACCTCAAGTGTGAGAAGCAGTGTGGGGTATTACTTAGGGTTCTGTATTGTGGACAGGAGGGCTGTGAGTGCAGATCCCATGGCTGTTACGCCCATGAGCATGTTACTTTGCTCAAATCGCTCCAGGAAACACCCTGCTAAAGAAATGGGTTCGCAGGTCAGCATGAGTTCGATTGACTTACCCCGTAAAATAAATAAAGGGATAAATAAAGTCACTTCAGTCCATGAAGTGTTTTAAAATAAACACTTCTGCTGATGCCGTCAGCTGTTCTCCTACATTTCTTAAGATAAGAAGGAATTTTTTCAACTTTCCATCTGCTTCAACGCCATCAGTTCTGTACGACCTGTTGATTGAACACGCTGGAGAGCAGTGGGGTCTCTGGTTAAAGATGGGGTGCTTGAAGAGGAAAGCTTGTAAAAAAAAATGGGGATCAGGTCACGCCCTGCAAGGGAGACATCGGGCAGCAGAAGCACCACAGCGCAGTTTTAGACGCAGTGTCTGCGTGTTGCTCCGAGTGTGGAGGACAGGCAGCTGTGAGATCCCCGGGGGTTCGGACGCCGAGGAGGTTAGAAGCTTGGGAACCACTGCTGTAGGGGTTTCTTTATCAAGAAAGTTAAAGGTGACTTCCCTACGCGCCACCGCGGTTGGATAAAGTAACTGTCGAATTCTTAAACGGGAGCACGAAGTGATTTCCTGCTGCGATTCCTGTTCCTGCTTGTTCCGTTGCAGAAGTCCAGGAAGAGCAAGGCAGCCGCGACGGAGACGGAGAAGGGCATGAAGCCGGGACCCTCAGAAGGTGAGCCCCGCGAGCTGCTGCCTCCCCGCCTCAGCTCTTCACCGCTGGGCTGACTCGGGGCGTTGGACAGCATCGAGCTCTGCGTTAGGACGTCGGTGCAACAGACGACCTATTCAGCAGTATTAATGGCTGGCTTCTCCAACCGTGTCTCTCCACCTGCTCCGCTCCGCACCACACCTCTCGCTAGCACATCGACTCTGAAGTTATTCAGGCTGGTCGTCGGTTAAGAAACGAATGAGCCAGTTGTTGCAGACTTAGTCACACTAGACTGGAGATGCAGCAGGCTGTGGGCTGAGTCAGGACATGGAGAGATGAGTGTTTTCCTGTGCTTGAGGCAGCGCTGCGTTCTGAATCATCCTGCACTATAATTAGTAGCTGTGTGGCTTAGAATTCTGTTAGATGAAGTTTGATACAGTGGTGACAATTTCCTGTGTAGCATGAAAATGCTGGCCATCGCTGTGTTGGTTTAGTTTCCGAATTTAATATCTGTGCGGTTTTTATTTGTTAGGGTAATGCTTTGGCATCCTCCTGGTGCAACCTGTTGAAATTCACAAAACCAATCTTAATTTGGTGATTTGGGTAATGTGGTCCCATTTTATCCGAATTCCGGACAGTCAATTCTGGTAACACTTGTCCAGTAGCTCAACAGAAGTAGTAGTTCAGACGTTCTGGTATCCCCTCAAAATCAGAGCATTCAGATGTTTGAATTCTTGTAAAATCTTTTAAATTAACAGCAGTGTTATGGAATTGCAGTTGGAAGGCTAAAAAAGTACCCAGTGTGACTGTTCTTGTTGCAACTAGGTGGCACTATAGGCCAGCTAATAATGACTGAGCTCTCGTGTGACACTCTAATACTTAGAACTGTAGATACTGACCAGTGTTGCCAGGCCTGTGGTCACTAGCTTGACCCCAGCTATGCCAAGCCAATAGCAAATGCATTCCTTTGCTCATTCCTGAAGTTGGAATTTCTTGTCCTGTGGGATCATAACACAGACCCCTACAGGACAATATTATCATTCTTTTTAAAGAAACCAAAGTAGAGCTATGTTCATGCCTCTAGCAATATGTGCTGAGTTTTTACTATTTTTGGTTATATGGCTACGTACTAAAATGTTCCAGTGAAGCCATGATTGTATTTTGTTTGTCCCTTACAAAAAACTAATTAATTTGTTTTAGAATGATCATAAACATATTTCTGCTTAATTGCTCGATTAGTTCTGCACACAGGCTGTTTGTCCTCAGTTATAGCTTTTTATTTGCTTTCCATTTAAAAACAGATTGACTAAATAAAAGCATCAGCTTGAGCACATGGTATTCTTCAATAAGTTCTTGATAACTGGTAACAGCCAAGGGACTTGGCTGTGCAAAGAATCACAAGGAATTACAAAATAAAAGTGTTAAATCAGTATAAATAACTGCACAACTGGCTTTGTGTAAAGTTAGTTTCTTTACAGCTGAATTGAATACCACATTCAGTATCAAAGTTACATCATTTTTACTGCTTCACTAAAAATCTCATTCAAGGTTATATTTTTTTTCTAGCAGTCTGTGGGGGACACTTAATTCTTCTTCAGTGTTTGTCCTTAAACAAAAACTGCCAGAGGTGCTCAGGTGTCACGAAATGTCATCGAGCTCCTTCCAGATATTCCACAAGCCAGCGCACAATAGGAGTGCACACTGCTGCTTTCATCACAGGGACACAGGCATAGTCTGAGGACTCCCAGCTCTGAAGGTGCCATTCAGGGAGTCTGCTGCTAATAATGCAATAAGAAGTGACTTGGTTAGGTGCGCACACCTGCCTGTGACATGATATCGATGGGTGTCAGTTTTTGATGTGTTTATTGACTGCACGCGTGTCCTTCCAGAAAACCACAGCTCTTCCCTGTCCACCACTGCAGTGCAGAAGCCAGAATCCCAGAAAGAAGCAGGAAGCACTTCTTCAGGTGAGTGTGGGATTGATCAAGACCCCCCTCCCCCCCGTTCCATTCCTGCAGCAGCAGGAGCAGTGAAGTACTCAAGGCCCGATTAGGTCATTAAATTCAATTTCTGCAAAGCGGCCAGGCGGAGCCATTTCCTTACACGCTTATCGTTTGGGTAAACCAATCTCGGACGCGGTGCAGGTGTGGAGATTGAAAGCGAATCTCCCCTTGCTTTCTTGCAGCCCCTGGGCTGCCGGGCACAGCCACCTCCAGCAGAACCGTGAAGCCCGGAGCCGGTGCTGGAGCCAAAAGGCCGGTCCCGGCCGCGGAGAAGTCCGAAGCCTACAAGTCTCTCTTCACCTCCCACAGCTCGGCCAAGCGCAGCAAGGAGCAGATGTCCAACTGGGTCACCCACACCCCCTACCACTTCTGAGCTGCCAGCTGGCACGCCCTCTCGGGGGGGGTGCTGAGAGATGACCCGGGACAGCCGCCACCCCTCCGCCCCCCATACACACACACACACACCCCGAGTTCTCTTCGCCCCCTTCACAACCTGAAGCAAAGACTTGACACCGTTCTTCAGTCCTACAGCAGCAGGACCTGGGAGGACAACAGGACTGCTGTGGCACGCCGACTCGTCATCTCGGGGTTATAGATGAACACATTGACCCAGCCGTAGCCGAAAGAAATTACTGCAACAGAATAATGCCAGTTTTTTTTTTTTACTATTTCCAGCATTATTATTAAATATCTAGGTAAACACCCTGATGCTATCTGGGCCTTTTGTTCTCTGAAGAGCATGTGGCTTGGTTTTAAGACATAATAAGTTAAAGACATCTTTGTTGTTGTTTTTTTATAGAAAAATTGCTCTTTAGCTCTGTCTTGTCATTTTATAGCACATGAGATATTGCAAAGCAAAAGGGCTATTTACCAGCAGGATCACTAACATCTGGGATCTTAACTTTCCACTGCTGTACTGATCTCATTTGTTTTTAAGCCTGAAATCTTTGGAAATAATCTAGAAAACATAACTGAATCTTACCAGACTTGTTATTGTTGGTACAAGGCTGTGCTGCATTACAAAACTGCAGTGTGTGATTACTGCAGCTAATAACATACAAGATTAATAAGGACACAGGATTTGAAACATCTTGGCCTGGTAGTTTGTTCTGAAACCCGTGATGCTGTGGCAAGAAGCCCCTTTTGTTTTCGTTCCTGAATGCATTTCCTCTTAGTGCCTTGCTGAGATGCACAGTATCGCTTTCATGTCCGCATTTGTATGGACATTTTCTATCTCCTCGTGATGCAAGCCTGTTGATTTCGCGATTTCGCGATTTTCGAGAATGAATAGAGCTTGGTTTAAAAAAGAAAAAGAAATCGGAAGAAAATGCAACAGTTTTTGTAGTTATTAAATAATATTCAGCTAATTTCTAGCGTACACGTTTTTGTAAAGTTTTGTTTTGTTTATGACAGGCTTTGTCCACAGGGTGGCAGCAGAGCCGCGTCGCACACGCTGGCTGGGGTTTCTCGCTGCTCCGGTACGGGTCCGGCCGAACTCTTAGCTCCCCGGTTCTAATTGATGCCTTTAAGGGATCGTCTTATTTGTTTAGACTTTCGGTTTTCCTTGTTACTGGGCTTTAAAAAAGCGAATTTCAGACCTGCACTAATTCTGTCGTGTTTACGCGCTGTCGCGCCTCGTGTAGCGGGGACCCTCGTCTCTGACCCAGCAGCTCCGAATACAGTTGATCAGTTTAGCTTCTAAACAGCCTATATCGCTCCCAGAATGAGCTGCCTCTTCCCGGTTTGCAAGGTAACATTTCGGGCACCACCTTGATGCTCGGAGTGCATACGTGAACAGCTCCAAGCCTAACCCTGGAGTCGACGAGGCTGCGAGTCCGAACTGGGCTGCGGCATCTGGACTCCCCAGCCTGGAGGAACAGGGCGAGCTGATTCACACGGGTTTCTGGGGTGAATTTCAAACACAGCAGCGGGTGTTGTGAAAATCGAGTTCATGACCCTCAATTTTTTTTTAAAAAAAAAGGATTTTTAATCTCGAAATGGAGTTGGGAATACTTCATGGACATTTTTTCAACAGTGCGTTTAAATAATATCTGTGCATTTAATCGAACTATTCTGCAGTAATGTCAGTATGGGCAATGGCTGGTACATCGCTCACTGCGCCGGTTCTGTTTCCTTGGCCTGAGATACGCGACTCTTACCTCCTGCGATTAAATCCAGTGGAACCGTTTTCCGTTTTATCACGTAGACACGGGTAAGACTGGCGCACCTTGCACTGCCCTCAGCCTCCAGTAAGCTCCCCGCCTGCTGGGAATCCAGGCCAGAGGCGAGCGGGGCGCAGTGTCTGCTGTCTCCCACGGCGGCCAGCAGGGGTCGCGCTGCCCCGTCGTTCTAGATGCACTGGTGCGCTCCTCTTTCAGCCCGCTCGTTTGTGAACGGTAAGGGCTTTCGGCTCCTGTGATCTTTACATGTTCACTTTTACACTGGCAGGAAATCGCCATTGGCTGACTGGTGTGAATTTCGGGGCGGTGAGGTGAGTCTGAAGGTAATATGCAGGACCGCGCGGCGCGTACAGCAGTTCACGGATGAGTACAGTGGACTACAGGTGCGGTTTTATACCCTTGCATTTGCAAATAAAAAATGAATGAAGCCTCCCAGCTTCCCCAGGAGAATAAAATATACGAGTGATGAATATTCAGACCTCCAAGTCGTGTATTACTAAGTGTAATGAAGCAACTACAAAAAGCTGTTGTCGCCTTTCACAGAAGTCGTAAATTATAGGCCTGGCACGGCTCCGCGACGAATGTGGGCTTGAGCTGTTGTAACAGAAATTAATTAAGCCTTTATTCAAATTTTCCGCCAAAGCAAGACTGAGCTCGCTGCTAGGCAGGGCAGACGGGACAGACGACAGTGGAAGATGAAGAACTACTGTCGAGTTTTTTTTTTCTCCCTCCGGCGGCTGTCCCCGACCCTGAGGTCTAAACTCCATCCGCCCAGGCCGGGCAGTGCGGCGGGCACCTGCCGCCAACGGCATGACCCCTGTTCCTGGGTCTCGGAGCGCTTCCCGATCCCAAGATGGGAATGGGCTGCGGCCCCCTGCTTGCGGATCCTGGTCCGGTCCCACAGTGTATAAAAACGCTCCCCAAAAGAGCAGGGACACTGCAAGACGAACCCCTCCAATACACACGTCTCCTTCAAATACATGCATTTTCTTTTTTATGACCTGATTACGGGAGGTCCTTCAATCGTGTTTACTATTAAATAGATTAGAAAGGGTTGTTTTGTAGTGGGGGGAGGACGGGGTGACGGTCACGTCTCTTCACTTTTATTTGATTTTTTTTACTTGTTCATGTTACCGTGCAGACAATGTTCCCATACCTGGCGGAACCGGACGGCCGGTTTCTATGGAGGGGGATGTTTCTGGTCGTTGTCTCGCTCGTCTCTCAGGCGACAGACCATTGTCTCCCGAGCCTCGCGCTGAGAAACCAGTGTTTCCAGTCCTGAGCTCCAGCCTACGGAATTTCAAGGGGACATCACCTCACAACAGACCGCACGGCGCTTTGTACAGGCTGGGGGTTCTCAAGGGGCACCGGGACGCGCCCGCTCTCCCGAGCTCCTGACAAAATCGGTGACCTGTCCGGACCCTGTTGAAAGTCACGCTCTTGGACGTTTATAACCACTCGACGGCCACTACGTCTTTGCCAAACGGGGGAGTCGAGTCACTGCTGATCGGTCAGGAGTCCAAGAGCGATCTCCTCCTATCCACAAAATAAATAATTGATCTTTTTGTTTTGCCCGGTTTCAAAAACGCCAACAACCAATAAAAAAAAAAACAAAAAAAAAAAACCCAAAAAAAAAAACCAACGGGAAAAAATGGCCCCCAAGCCCAAGGTTTTTTTTCCACATATTGGTTTACTTAGAATACATAAAAAAGCTTTAATTCTTCAAAGAACACACGATCGGTCGATTTGTTTGTTTCGTGTTTCACAGTATGTTTTAAACAAATGCACAAGGGGTTTTGAAAATGGGTATTCAATAAAGTTTTCAGAAGTATTTAATTGTACTGTGTTTTTCTATTGTAATAAGGTATTTATAAACACGTTTTCTAAAAAAATATGTATTGCAGAATTGTGTGCCAGACACCGTCTTTTACTAACTTGTGCAAAATGGCAAGATATCTACGTTTGTGAATAAAGAGACACTGGGAAACAAACTTTCCACAAATGCACCATGGAGCTTAACGACCATATTTTCTACGTTTAATTTATTTACTAAGTTTCTAATGTTTTCACAAGCTAATCTTAAATTGCGTGGTTAGCTGATGAAACGCATTCGTTTGCTAAACTGAGCGCAGTCCAAACAAATCTTACTGCAAATAAATCTTTAAACCGATTGTCGCTGCTTTCACAGTCCAGCTTCAGGAACAGAAGCAGACGATTTAAAAGTGTTCCTGCAAATCGATTAATATTTGCATTTGATTCTTATTTATATTTAAAAATCTAATTATATAAATTAATTAGTTTAATTAATTCGCCAATTTATAACTTTCACACTAATTCTGTCTTCTCGTAAATCTCACCGTTTATACTTAGCGCAAATCGCCTAGTTTAGGAAGTTACTCATTATATAAAATCGAATATTTGGCGAATCTCCCTTAGAATCTTTATTATCTATATAAATGTATACCTTTGTTGGGTTTGCCTTCGAATAATTCATTAAAAACGGTAAATTCAAGATATGAATAATAATCGTATGCGCATTTAATTTTAACAGGTTTCTCTAATAAAATTATAGTAGGTTCCCCGGTTCTGAAAAATGTCGCTCTTCTTGTTGACCCGTGTTAAACAAAGAAGATTTGAAATGGAAATATTCAGTGTATGGAGGTGATTTGCATTATTCGTGTTCAATTGATATTCTTTGACTATTCAAAGTGTCATTTTTAAAAGAAAAGCAGTAACTTATGCGGAATAAAAAAATTCACGCAGAAGCAGCCGAGCCATTTGCAGTCATTAGCAAAAGACAAGAAGCAATCAATGCTGGAGAATGTGCAATCTAATTAAATTAACACAGGCTTGAATTCGTCTCTACGCACCACAATGCAGACTAATGTAAAAAAAAATCGATTTCTTGACAATGCATGAGGGACAACCTCTAGTTTTACTAGTTTTCGTTGTATCTGTATATTTTGTTTGCATGACGATTGATATGACCAGGTTAAATTTACACGCTCTATTTGAATCAATCTTCCACCGGTAATTAAACAGGCACACGGCAGCCTTGGCCCTCATGCAGACCTGTGGATATCAAGCCTGCAAGCCCGGAGCTGAACTGTTCGGACAGAACGACATAGAAGAGCTTTATCTGCTCACATAGAATAAACACCGTCCTCCACTTAAAAGGAATGCCCCGACTTGTGCTCTTTGATCTCTGCCATCTACGGAGAACATTGCTGTTTCGGAGAGGCGCGGGGTACGAAGCAGCGCTCTCGGGAAGGAGGCGGTAGTGGTTGGAATGCAGGGGACGCGCTGCAGGAGCGCCTCTCCATTCAGGTGTATTGGGGACGCAGTGCGCCTGCGCGGCGGCGGGGCGCAGAAAGCCAGGTGAAGCTCGCGGCGCAGGTTACTTCTCGCGACTCGCCAGCCGCAGGACGCTTCTGGACTGGACTTGCAGCGGATCGGCCCGTGCAGATGTCTCTGTTGGACAGGATAGAGTGGCAGGTAACGTGGGCTTTGATCGGGTAACCGTGACATTGTTTGATGTGCATAGATTTGAAAAGAAGCGGCGGCGGCGGCGGGGGCGAAATATGTATTTTTTTCAGAGAACAGAGTTATATAGTCTTAGCACTGCCAATCATACGCCCCGCTGGAGAACAGGGCGCTAACCCAGCCGTACAATTCCCAGCTTCTTGGTGTGGGGAGTTCGCAACATCGCGTTAGGAAGACGCTGCACGCTGTCTGAGGAAGCCCTAGACCGGGATGCAGGAGAGGGAAGGGAGGCGACTCGGGCACTCGCTCGCTCACACTTGAATATTCTGCCCCTGACAGCGCCTTACACGCAATCAGAGCTGCAGGCTGCCCTTGAGCGCTCCCTCTGTGAACATAAGTCACGAGTGGGCTCCTCCAGGCCCAAATTCAGCCCGCTTTCTAATGAGGGGTTCGCAAGGGCGAGCGGCGCCAGGTGACCCCAGCGCTCACCTTCAGGGCAGCCCGCGGTTCAAACCCGTCCCCGAGCGAGAGGGAGACCGTCCCTGTGTGCGGGCTGTCTGCGTGGCGTGGCGTGGCGTGAGTCGGCTTCTGCGGTTTGTCCGGGGGAACACTGGTTTCGCGTTCGCTGGACAGCGATCGGACACTTAGAGCTGTGACCGCAGGGGTATCTCCTTGTCGACCGAAGAGACGCGAAAAATGAACAG